AAAAAACCAAAAAAAAAAAAAAAAAAAAAAAAAAAAAAGAGTCAGTCTTCTCCTCCTGTTCCTTCCACAGTGGGTGCCCCAATTCCAGTCCAGCGAAGCCCGAGGCCCAGCCGGGAACAGGTGGACCAGTTGCACAAGTTGTATGTAGAGCGGCTCACCGAACTCTTTGAGGAACACAAGACCCTATACGGCGTCCCTGCTGATCAACACCTTGTTCTCACCTAGGCGTGTCCCTGTTCCTGTGTCCTGGCCTTCCTGAGTGACTGCGGGGGCTAGGGGTGGGGGGTGAAATTAAATGTGGGAATAGACAAGAAGCGTTCGTGTGTTTGTACAAGTTCGGGGGAGGGAGAGATAAGCCACAGGGCAGGGGCCCCCACCGTCCCCACTAATCCTGGTAGCCTTGACCACTCCCAGGGATCTGCAAACATGCAAACAGATTGCCTTGCCCGAGCCTGCCTGCCGGCATATCTGAGTCCTCCTGCCCTGCCTGGCCTGTATCAAAGTCTCAGGTCCATACCATTGTCTGGGTCCCTGTGGCCCAGTGGGTGGGCTGGCCAGCGGCTTCTTGTCTGCTCCCTGCCTTAATGCCTCAGTCACCAGGGAGGTACTGTCCCTTTTCTATACTCTCCCCTCCCCCCCGCCAGCTCAGAGCTCCTCCCAGTAATGTGCACAGACGCACTGACCAAGGAACTTCAAAGGTCAGTGTAGTGGAAAGATTTTCTCAGGTCCTTCCAGTCTGCCTCGATCCTGTCTGGCTCTGGTAGGGACAAATCTCTCTCATTTGCAGCTGCTTATAAAATAATCACTTAGAGGCTTCATATTATTTACATACTGTATGGCCTATGGCAGGCCTCTTGTTAGCTAGCTCTTCTATCTTAAATTAAGCCATTTTTACTAATCTATGTTTTACCATGTATTACGTGGCTTTACTGGTCTGCTGGCATGTTGCTCCTTGGGCAGCAGGCTGGTGTCTCCCCAGCGTCTGCCTTTCTGATTTGTTTTAATTTTTTCTTTCTGGAGCTGAGGACCAAACCCAGGGCCTTGCGCTTGCTAGGCAATCGCTCTACCACTGAGCTAAATCCCCAACCCCCAGCCTCTGCCTTTCTCTTTCCTGTCTCTCTCCTTGGATTTCCCACCTGCCTCTAAGCTGCCTTGCCATAGACCAAAACAGCTTATTTATTAACCAATGGGAACAACATATATTCACAGCAGGTCAGTCCAAGAAGGAGCCTAGAAAGTTCGGGGGCTCCAGGTCCAACATCGGATCACCCCAGAAGTGAACTGCTTCCTGTGAGATCACAGCCCCAAACCTTCACCCTCTGTTTCCTGGGTCCTGGAGTCCTCGTGAGACAGAGGGAGGTACCAGGACCTCTGTCCCCCTCTCTCCTCCCTCACCATGAAAACCCCTCAGAAGCAATGGCTTGAAGTGATGGGTGCCTGCCACCATGTGCTCCTTTTGCTGATCATGGGTAAGAGTGACTGGAGAGGCGTGGGGGTGGGGCAGGCGTGGGGGCCCCGAGACAAGGGAGCTAGGAAAAGGGGATTAGAGGCCATATGGCTGGGCCTCTGCCCTTGTGGGTTCCAGGCACCAGGAAAGGGCTGCTCAGCAGGGGTGGAGAGAAGGAGCAGGGGTGGAGGAGAAGGAGCAGGGGTGGAGGAGAAGGAGCAGGGTTGTTTTGGCTGACGACTGCCTGACATACTAGATGCCAAGGCATCTTTCCCTTCCACCCAGGCCCCTTCTTCACCCTGCTGGTCTTCTTCCTCCTTTTCACCCGGCTCTGGTCCTTCTCTCTTCTCTACCTGGTATGGCTCTACCTGGACTGGGACACGCCCAGCCAAGGTAAGTCTTGGGCAGAGGTCTCCTCGGGTCCTGAGACATGTTTTGCCATCCTCTGTGTGTATGCACACGCCTGTGGGGTTTGGTTTTGTTTTGTTTTTAAATGTAAGCGGCCTCACGTGGTGGGTTCACTCCTCTGCACTGGTGTTGCATGCGGGGACCAGAGGTTGACTCCATCACTCTTCCACCTTGTTCCCTGAAGCAGGGGCTCTCAATCGAACCCAGAGCACACTGACATGGTGGTTTTTGCTAGCCTGCCTGCTCTGGGGGATTCCTGTCTCCACTTTCTGAGGCCGGAATTCCAGTGGCTTCCAGGCCCGCCTGGCCGTTACATGAGTTCTGGCGAGCACTTAACCCCTGAGTCATCTGGCCTAGTCCAGAAGGTACGGTTTTCCCAGGGAAGTCTTTCATCCCTGCCCCCATCTCTCTGTGTGCAGGTGGAAGGTGCAGCAGGTGGACGAGAAAGTGGACGATATGGAAACACCAAAGAGATTATTTCCCGATCAAGGTGACGAGTCTAAACTCTTAACAGACAGTCGGTCTCCTTCCTCTCTGTCACCTCCTCACCTTCCTCTGTGCTGGAGCCTCTACTGGATTGGATGTCTGAGCTCAGAATGGGGTGATATGTGAGAGTGATCCCTGGGACCTTGAACTTTGAACTTTGGGGTAAAGGGCAGCTCTTTCCAGCAGTTATCTTGTATTCTTGTTTTATTTTTATTTACTTTTGAAATTTAAACTTTTTTTAAAGTTTACATTTTACTTATTTTGGGGGGTGGGGGAGGGGCTTGCGCATGCCACAATCAGATTTGGGAGGGGAGGGGGTGGGGGGTGTTTCTCCCATCACGTGGGTCCCAGGAATTGAACTCCAGTTGTCAGGTTGGTAGCAAATCTCCTTTACAAGCCCCAACAATCTCACCTGGCCCTCATCTTGCATTCTGTGCCTCCTTCCTCCTGACATCTTCCCAAACGCCTCAAAGCTACTGAAAACCGCAGAGCTGCCTGCCGACCGGAACTACGTGCTGGGTGCACACCCCCACGGGGTCATGAGCACGGGAATCTTTTGTAATTTCTCCACGGACAGCAATGACTTCTGCCAGCTCTTTCCTGGGCTGCGGCCTTGGGTCGCCACGCTGGTGGGACTCTTCTATCTTCCTATCTATCGAGACTACCTCATGTTCATCGGTGAGCCTTCTTATCCTAGCCTTGTGTCCACTTGGCACAGCCTGGATCAGGTTGGCCTGTGGCTGCGTCTGTGGGGGACTGTCATCTTGATCGTTAGTTGATGTGGGAGGACCCAGTCCACAGTGGGCAGCACCATTCCCTGGGCTCGTAGAAGAAAGTTAGCTAAGCAGGAGTCTGCGCGTGAGCCTGTAGGGAGCGCTTCCTCCGTGAGCTCCTGCACCGACTGCCCGCAATGATGGACTGCAGCCTATAAGCTAAAACAACCCCTTCCCTCCCCTAAGTTGCTTTTGGTCAGAGTAAACCCAGTAACAGAGATGAAAGGTGAGCGTGCCCATGGATTATAGGCTGTCTCCTCCGTAACTAACAAGATCCTCACACAGCAGACCCCCTACTTCGGAAGGAGAACTGGCTTGAGCACTGGTCCCCTTCCGAGGGGGACACCAAGTGTGTAGCACAGGATGCAGGGACCGCAGAACTCAGAGAGGATCAGGACATGAGGCTGACTCTCTCCGTGCCAAAGAGTGGCGGTGGGATGGCTGGGGAGCGGGGGAGAGGGTGGTGACAGTCCCCTGCTTTTGTCCACAGGGCTGTGTCCTGTGAGTCGACAGAGTCTGGACTTCATTTTGTCACAGCCCCAGCTTGGCCAGGCAGTGACCATCATTATTGGGGGCGCCCAGGAAGCCCTGTACGCGGTTCCGGGGGAGCACTGTATCACGCTAAGGACACGTAAAGGCTTCGTACGTCTGGCGCTAAGGCATGGGTGAGTGGGACAGCAGATGCTTCTCAGGTCAGGCGTCTGCTTTGTAGCAGGGTCTCGTGTAGCCCAGGCTGTCCTTGAACTCACCCTGTAGCCAAGAATGACTTGGAACTTCTGATCCTCCTGCCTCTACCTCTTGAGTACTGGGATTACAAGTGTGAACCATCACTGCAGGTTTACGCTGTGCTGGGGGTGGAACCCAGGGCTTCGTGCATGCTAGGTGAGTATTCTACCTTATAGGTGTAGATAGATAGGTATATCTATATTGCATGCATGCACGCGCATGCACGCACATGCACGCACATACACACACTACACACACCACACACACACACACACACACACACACACACACACCACACACACACACACACACACACACACACACACACACACACAGCCATCAGAAGGCATCAGATCCCCTGTCTAGAGTTACAGGCAGCTAGCTGTGAGCTGCTCAACACATGCGCTGGAAACCCAACCCTGGTCCTCTGTAATAGCGAGTACCGAGTACTCTTAACTTCTGAGCCATCTCCTCAGCCCCACATTTGGATTTTTTTTTTTTTTTTGATTTTTTGGTTTTTTTAATTTTAAAAATTTTTCTCTATTAAAGCACTTTATTCTCGACATTCAGATTGAACAACTTCAGTTAATATAGGTGATAAAGCACAGGTGTAGGACACAGTGTCTTTTCTTAGATAGCTTCCTGGCTGAGATCAAACTAATTCCATTTTTAACAGCATTGGCATTTCAAAACAATATATGATTAAGTTCAGAGTTCTATGATTCAGACTGTTTTTAAATGTCAATCTTAAAGGAAACCAGAGTAGGCCACTATTACACTTCTGCTGTTACTCACTTGTGACCACTGCAAAGTCTCTGAATATTCAGTTTCTTTTTTTTAAATGCCAAATGCTGTTTATTGAAGGAGGGAAGAGGTCTTAAATACAGGATTACAGCACAATGGGAGAACCCTGGAGGGCAGAAGTTCACTATTGATGTTTCACAATCTTGCATCTAAGCTGTTAATGCCCATTATGCAGGATACACAGACAATGAACTTTCCTTAAGCATTCAGGAGGGTGGAACCCAGCAGGGAATTAGCATTGGGAGGATATCAAGGTCAAGGTCAGCAAGCAAGGCAACAGTTACCCAAAACGGGGGGCCAGGACCCTACAGGTCCCCCCTTTTACTAAAAAATGAGCTTCTGACTTAGGTTGCATGGGACGTCAGCAGGTCACCTTACCTGTCATGGAGACGCCTGCCCAGGCCACACAGGCCCCCCAGGCATTACCCGTCTCTGAATAATCATTATCATACAGGCTCAATCGTGTGTTATTCATTATCATACAGGCTCAATCGTGTGTGAGCTGCAGAGTTAACTGCTGCCAAAGATCTCAAAGTGGCACTGGGCTTGCAATCTGTGTGTTCGACACAGAAAAGACCAACAGAACACCTGGATTTTTTAAAATGTCCTTTTATTTTTATGTGTGTGTGTGTGTGTGTGTGTGTGTGTGTTTGCCTGTATACATGTCCATGGGCTATGTGTGTGCAGTGCCCAAGGAGGCCAGAAAAGGGCCTTGGATTTCCTGGAATTGGAGTTAGAGACAGTTGTAAGATACCATGTGGGTGCTGAGACTCAAATCCAGGTCTCTCCAGCCCCATCCCTTGCATCTGGATCTTAAAACGTAGATTCTAGGAATCATCTCAGGTCTTCATCGTTCCACGGCAAGCGCTTCACTGGGCAGTATCCCCATACCTTCAGCCCGATTTCAAGGCGATGCCTTGGCACCAGCTGTGGTGAGACAGGCCCTGAGTCCCAGCATCCTGGGAGGCTTAGGCAAGAGGAGACACACACACTAAGCCTTTCTTCCCTCTCACACCCTCCCCAGGGCCTCTCTTGTGCCTGTGTATTCCTTTGGGGAGAACGATATCTACAGATTCAAGTCTTTTGCCCCAAACTCCTGGCAGCATTGGTGTCAAGTTGCCTTCAAGAGACTCATGGGATTTT